CTGGATGAACACAGCAGGCCGAGCAGGAAAGCTGATGTTTCGGGCCTTCAGAAAATTTTCTGAAGAAGGGTCTAGGCCCGAAATGTCAGCTTTCCTGCTCCTCTGATGCTGCTTGGCCTGCTGTGTTCATCCAGCTCTACACCTTGTTATCTCAGTTTAGGAGTAAACAGGCCTTTTTGAGGAGCAGCCAGTAACTAGCGGTATACTGCTTGATGCCAGCAATTCACAACACATATTGAATGATTTAGATGAACTAAATGTACTATCTCCAAATTTGCAGATGACATAAAGCTGGGTGAGAAGTGTGCTGTAAGGAGGATGTTGAGATGTTTCACTGTGTTTTGCACAAGTCGAGTGAGTGGGCAAATGCAGGTCAAATGGTGTAGAATGTTGATAATTGAAAGGTTATATGAAGTTGCTGAAAGTAAGCATGCAGGTAATGAAGAAGGAAAATTATATGTTGGCCTTCATAATGAGAGGATTCAATTACAGGCACAGGGATGTCTTACTGCAGTTGTACAGGACCTTGGTGAAGCCACACCTAGAGCATTGTATGCAGTTTTTTGCCTCTATCTGAAGAAGGATGTCCTGGCTATAGCGAGAGTGCAATGAAGATTTACCAGATTGAGTCCTGGGATGGTAGGACTGATGTATAGTGGATCAGTTAGGACTATATTCACAGGAGTTTAGAAGAGTGAGGGGGGAATCTCATAGAAGCCTGTAAAATTCTAACGGAAATAGGCACGGCAAATGCAGGAAGGATGTTCCCAGTAACCTGCAGTCCAGAACTAGGAATCACAGTCTAAGGGTATAGGATAAGCCATTCAGAACCGAGATGGAGAGAACTTTCTTTTTTCAGAGGGTGATAAGTCTGTGGACTTCTCTGTCATAGAAGGTGCTCGAGGAGAAAAAAAGCATTGAATCTTTTCAAGAAGTTAGATATAGTTCTTGGGGCTAAAGGGGCCAAAAGGTATTGGGAGAAAGTAGGAACAGGGTACTGTGTACAGTGATCAGCCATGATCATATTGAATGGTGGAGCAGGCTGGAATGGCCTCCTACTCCTATTTCCAATGTTTCTATGTCCTGTCGTACATGGACATGGACTGCTTCGTTATATGACAACTTCTGAATGAGGCTCATGAGGTATTATGGAGCAAGAGATGTAGAATATTTAAGCAACAATGCATGGATTGCTGGGAGGCATGTGAATCCATAAAGGGTGTTATCTAGTTGTGTTGCATTAGTAAGAATGCACTTGGTGCTCTTCCTGTCCAAATAATTAATAGAGGATCAGCCACAAGGAATAATTTGATGCTTGGTACCCAAAAATATTGTTAAATATTTTTTGGGTAGTGTTATTAACTTGTACATTTTTAAATGAAAGTATAAAAACAAAATAAAATCTATAATCTAAAATTATTTCCTTAAAATATGTGCTGGGTTTTGACAAGTAGAATGATGGAAGTGGAATTCTGTTTCATTACAGTTATGTTTACTGTTAATTATAGCACATGTTTTGACATTTTCTGTTCTCCTTTCCCTCTTACTGTCTTATAGAATGCGACTCTTCAGGCTGAGAAACAAGCCTTGAAAACTCAGCTGAAACAGCTAGAAGCCCAAAATAACAACTTGCAAGCTCAAATCCTTGCACTTCAGCGACAGACAACATCTTTACAGGAGCACAATACCACCTTGCAAACACAGAATGCCAAGCTGCAGGTTAGAATTTGTGTTATTGGTGCTTTTTTAATTTCACAATTGGTGCATCATTTACTGAAATAGAATACTTTTCTTGATTCAAAAGCAAGAATGGCTTTTCAATTAAGTTACAATAAGCAATACATTTCATCTGCATTAGATTTCTAAAATATTCAGTAAAAATCATAATCTGTATGCTAACGATATTTTTTGAATGGAAATTGGGCTAAATCTAAGAGGCTTAGCATAAGAAACAGCACAAAACATTCGCCAGCATTCTGTCATAACTCGATGGAACACAATTTCAGAAGAGAAGTATTTTACAAGTCTAAAAATATTTTCTAAAGTCCATTTCACAACATCATAGATGCCATTTATTTAGAATAAACAGCAATCTGGCATGTTTTTCTATTTTGCGTAAACATGCATCACGTCAACAGACTTACAACTTTTACAGCATGAAAGAGCAAAACAATATAATTTGTCTCTTGTTACTTGAAATTTGTTGATTTATATTGAGCAGCTGTTTTTCTATAAATTCATTAGCGTAAAACCAACTTTTCAGGTCAATTTTCAAATCGGTTAAAGCCCAAATTCTAAAGAATACTGTGTCCACAATAACACACATTGTGATACCTTTACTAATTTTGTTTTTGCTTTTTGACTGTGCCTTAAACTCCATTACTTGAATTGAAACAATCTAACATAACTGTTAAAGTGAACAAGCCCATCTCCTAAACATTTTCGGCAGATAGCATGTGATTTCATGTGGGAGTATTCAGTTGCAAGGTTAGAGGCTGGAAGGATGACTTTTAAACTAATTGCATATTTTGTATTCGTTGGAAATCCCTGATGACTGGCATGAGAGTGTTAGTTGTTCAGAGGGGAAAAAAAAGTTGTAGCCAAAATTAGGTAGAGAGATGACGAGTAACAGAGACTGATAATGGATTGGTAGTAGGCACACTGGGTTAAAGTAGCAATAATCTCAGATGATGATAAGGCTGCCCTCATTAGAGTGAGATACTGTCGGTGCTTTAATCTGGAATGACACCACACCTTGGGCAAGGGGAGAGGTTGAGAAGGAGAGCCGTTCATGGTAACCTCCAGCTTATGCAGAATTGACTCTACGCTGTTGGTACTACACTGCACTGTAAACCAGAAAGCATCCAGCTAACTGACGACCTTACTTATTTCACCTGGGGAGAAGACTAGTGAACTAGTAAAGCAATATATTGTTGCGAAATTGGGTAGAGTACTTTTGGATTGGGAGGCAGGAGGTTTGAATTTAGTGTTTGTAAAATGGTAGGGGGGGACAGTATTGTGTGGTCCCTTTCAAAGATTATGTGCTTTTTCTATGCTTAGAGATCTTAAAAAAAGGTCTGTGAGCAGCAGCTTGAAAGTTTGCAAGTACGCAGAGCACCTGAATTGAAACATTTGTAACAAAAGGCTATACAGCTAGCAGGCCAAGCAGCACTTTTTACTAAGACAGCAAGTTTTGAAATTAGCCAATCAATTTGAACCAGGCACTTAAAACAATTAAATTTAAATCTGATGGTTTGACAACAGAGGACCAATCCTATTGTAAGAAATTGATATGTCTTTAAGGATATAAAAGAATGGGCAGTTGGGCAAATACAGGAGTGTTCACTGCCACCTGCCGGAGTTAACAGCCCTCAGCTCTCAAGAGGGAATCACTGGCTCTCGCAGACTCCTCTAAGTCTCAGAGAAAGCACCATATAAAGAACAAAGGTTCCCATGGCACAACTAGTGAATATTTCTGACAGAAGAATCGATGAAGAAGGCCCTCCTCACAGAAGAATCGACAGAAAAGGCACAGAACATTCAGGAAGACACATAACTTGGCTGTAATTTTGAGAAACTTAATTCTATTTTCTTTAAATTTTATTTTATGTGAGTGGGACTTGTATTTACTGGAACAGCATACTATTAGAATCATATTTTATTCATGAATAGTTAGTAGTTAGAAAGGATTTATTCAGTATCTTAATAGTTTAGTTAATTTGTTCACTGTTAGAGTTAGATAACTAAATTATTACTTGTTGATTGTAATGTAAGTGTTAGGGGTTTATTTTATTTAACCACTAGAAGTTGCTAAAAGGCAGGTTATACCACTTTTCACACTCCCATTACAGATAATAGGGCGAGGTGCTCCTCTTTGGGTGTTTTGGTTTTAGATCTCATGGCGGGGGGTGGCGGCAGGGGGGGGGTGTCAACCTCCGCTTTATAACAACGTGAGTAAAAGGAGTTTGTATATTTAGGTGAGGACTGTAATGGTGCTTAATTTGGCCATGGAAACAGCCTTCCTGGATTTACCTAAAGTAGTCTAATGTTTATTAAAGTGTTTAAAGTTAACATTAATTCATTTTTCTTTGACAGGTAGAACATTCTACCCTTAATTCTCAAAGTGCATCCTTGATGACTCAGAATTCTCAGCTTCAGAATCAGCAGTTGTCATTGGAGAATGAAAATGAATCATTGATAAAGGAAAAAGAGGAGTTGAAATTACAGTATGATTCGCTCATCAAGGATCACGAGAAACTAGCTAAATTACATGAGCATCAGGCAACAGAATACGAGTCCCTCATCAACAAACATGGAAGTTTGAAATTTGCTCATAAAAATTTAGAAGTTGATCATAAAGAACTTGAGGACAGGTACGTAATTCTTGATTATCAAAAATGTTTTCACTTATTTAAACTTCAGGGGTATATGATAAATGTGTCATGTTGTGAAGAGTTCAAAAACAGAACCATTGAGCAATATTGACATTTAAAAGATTCCACTATCGTGCAGATTTTTCGGTCAAATAAATCTTTCTTACATACACATGTAAACCCATTTATATTCTGAATAGCAGCATCTGTTCCTTTACTTCGAGCATTAGCAGCTACCTTCATTGTTGGCTGCTTTATTTAAAGTAGACTAGATTAAATTATTATCGGTTTGCTGATTTTTACTTTGAAGTTGATAGTTGGAAACTGTGGCAGTGAAAGCACTTTGCAAATCTTTCAGGAAGTTTGACACTGTTTTGAAAACTTCCTTGAGTTTTGATGGGAGTTTAATTTTCATTTAATAATTAATACAAGTTGCCTCAATTTGTTCCTTCAGTTTTAGCATAATGTATTTTAGTGGCTTTAATTCCAACTGATAAAATTTCAAATTTGATTCAATTATTTGTGGATTCTCACCAGTGAGAAATTCACATGTTGCCTCTTTACTATCTTTCCACATTATTTGTTTTTCAGAAGTGTGATCAGGCAGCTGCTGTGTCTTTTAGATGACTATTGTGATGAGAGATGTGTGATTTTTATACAGTTTTAAAGTTTGGATATTATAATATTGGTATATGGATGTTACTTTTGTGAAGGGTTTTTAAAAGGAAAATAACTACATTAGACATTCCTTCCAGAACTGTGACCTAATCAAGTATGTGTAGGAGAGTTTAGACCCCATGGATTGTTAAGGTAGATTATTTTCACTATGGAAATCACTTCTGAGGAAGGGTCACCAGACCTGAAACATTAACTCTGTTTTTTCCTTCACAGATGCTGCCAGACCTGCTGGGCTTTTTCCAGCAACTTTGTTTTTGTTCCTTGTTTTCACTATGGTGGTTTACAACAGGTGGGATAAATAGTGAAGGTTATAATCTTGCTTTTAGTTCAGGATAATTGTGGAATAATATTAGTTTTGAAAACCTAGAGATTGAAAGCCATTACAGTTTTGAAGGAGACCTGACTGGAGTCAGAAGCAAATGACGGATAGAACCAAAAAGTGATGTGAAGAAATGCTTTTATTGTAATAAGACTTGGACATGCTAAAGCCAATTTATATACTGGAAGTTAAATGGGAGACAGTTAAATGGATTACATGAGTAGGAATGTGTAAGGAATCTCCAGAAAAGGAAGCATTAGGAAAGGAAAAAAGTATTAAAACTGCAGTGGTAGTAAAATGAGAACATTTTCTTTGAATATACCAAGAAGAAAAGATGACTCCGGACAGTCAAGAAAATTTTTTCTCAATGATAAGGAGAATAAAACAGCTGGAGGTTCTGAATTTGTTATCTCAAAAGGAGAGGTAAAATCTTATGCGGCAACTCAAGGAGGTGAACCAGCAAAGATATTGTAAAATACTGGAACCAGTCAATTACTAATGCTGGCTAATGATTATGTATGTCTTGTCTTGTCTTCCGAAAGAGTTAATGAAGGAGAAAATATGAATTGAAGATCGACATGGAGATCATAAACCAATTTCATCATGCAGAGTTAAATTAAAGAGTGACTTAGTAAATGAAGTTGTAGTTGGAATGGTGAAACAAGTATTGGCAGAATGGATTGATTTTATCTTGGAAAATAACTGGTTCAAAAATGTTGGCTTCACCAAGGGTGGTGGATTAACCAATAGAGGTTTAAAAAAAAAAGCTACATGAAGACATCCTGGATTGTTTCCTGACTATGTTGTGACTAGACCTTAAACCCATAAACTTAGGCAGGAAGAAGAGGAGTCTTTGAGTCAGGGAGATCACTTGGAAATTTGGTTAACGGACAGAATTTTCAAAATTTTAAATAACGTTGATGAAGGAAAAGTGATAATGCAACAAACAAATCCCAAATTAAGAGTGTTCTATCAAAGAGCCTACTCAGAAATTGAATCAGAACTAATACCAGACTGTTATTACTCGAAAGAAAAAATATTAATGAGGAAGTAGAGACCAACTCAAAATGAACAGTGGTCCATCACATGATAATTTTATCCGAATATCATAAGGAAATTTTACAAATTGCACATGAAATTGCAGTAGTAGGTCGCTTTGCTCCTTTAAACCCGATACCAGTTTTCAATAATCATTTGAGAGCTTTAATAGATTGTGTAGAACCCAGACTAAATCCAGGAATGGGAATTGGCATCTTTCAACAATAATGGATGTATCTATATGGTTTCCTAAAGCAATGTCTTTAGAAAACTTACTGCAACTTTTATAAAGGTGTGGATTACCCAAAGAAATATAATTAAATCAAGATTCAAATTTTATCTCTGAAATTTTTGAAGAAACGATAACTGGTTTGGAAATAAAGCAGCTTACATCTTGCAATTATCACCCACAATCTCAAGGTGCATTGGCGATACAGCATCAAACTTTGAAGACACAAAGCTCATTGTCAAGCTAAACGCTAATTATTGGGATAGGGGAATTCTCTTGTTACTGTTTGCCATTAGGGATGCTCCTCATGTGTCCATAACATTTGGTCCTTCTGAAGTGATAAATGGACATGAGGTGAGAGGACCACTGAAACTGATTAAAGAAAATTTGATAAAACTCAGCAATTATGCTTCCAGCCTATGTTCATATTTCAGAGAGATACTAACCAAAATATGAGTTGCCAAATACCGTTTGAAGAGCACTCAACAATGAAAACTATAACAGATAAAAAGGTTGAACTTCAAAATGTTGTTGCTGGAGGCAGGATGTTAATATTGTTACCTGTCTCTCGGAACCATTAAAGGCAAAGTTCACTGGATTTTATGAAATCGAAAACAACTCAATTATTTAAATTATGTAGTGAGTATTCCAGAAACATCAGTGAGTGTGTTATGTTAATGTGCTAAAGAGATATTATGAAAATGAGGATAATTGGGAGAAAGATATATCTATAGTAGTAAAAGAAATGTGGAGTGAAGTGAAAATGTAGAAACAATTGGAGAATGAATTAGAAATTGGAACTCCAAAAGTTGATCCTCCAGAAATCAGATTGTACAGAGATACTTAATATGTTAGCATTATATATTATCTGTAGCAAATTTTTAAAGTGAGTTATAAAGGCTATCATTGACTCATAAATCAATTTGCATGAATAGATCTTGAAAAAGTCTTTGGTGTTCACGGTGTTAATGTAGGGGATGTGTTAGCTATCAAACAACATCCTCACAGACTCATTCCAGAGAAATTAGTTCAAGTGGGGGAAGAATGATGGAACATTATTTAATTGAGTCATTGTCGCACCTATCATCAAAGATTCACTATTGATTATCATGAAGTCAGCGCAGTAACAAAAGTGGACTCTCCTCTTACTCCAAGATAAGCGGCGTGTGTTGAAAAAATCGGGATGTATGATTCAACCCATATTGACTTGCTGAAAAGATTGTCAAATTCCATTGACTGATACTGGCAAAGAAATTTTATCTTTCATAATACTGAATGGGCTTTCGTTATTGCAGCGTCATGTTGTTTGAAATGAAAAATGCATCAGCAAGCTGACTAAGCTATTTGATCAGTTACAAAGAGCCAATTTGGTTATAAATTTGGCTAAAAGTCAATTTGCCAATGAAAATCAGTCTTATTTGCACCCCACTGTTGGACAAGCTCAAGTTACACATAGAGAAGCAAAAGCAACAGGTTACTTTGGATTTTCCCAGGCCTGAAATTTATGATATATTAGCATGAGTGAATTTTATCACAAGCATGTTCTGAACCTCAACACTGTGGTAGCTACTTCAACAAATTTGTTAAAGAAAGGCAAATAATTTGAATGGACACAAAACCGTCAAAAGTGCCTTTGACAACCTGAAAGCTGTGGTGACACATCCACCAGTTTTAGCAGTACCGAATTATGAGAAGCTATTCAGACTGGCTGTTCACATTGGTGGATGGTGTTTTACTAAAAGATGACAAAAGAAGGATCAAAAGTATTTTGGTTTCTTAAGGAAAGTGAATGATTGTCGACAGAAATGTTTAATGGCTAAGAAAGAGACACTGAGTCTTGTGTTGACAGCCTTAAATATATTTCAGTAACAACTCTGAAGACACTGGTATTTATATAGACCACAATTCTTTTAAAGATTTTAGAGAAATTTCTGAACAAGAACTTTGTCCAACCATATAATATAAAAATCATTCCTTTGCATGAAAAAGACAATGTAGTAGCTGGTGCTTGATTAAGAGCACATGTGAAGGAAACTGAATTTTGTGATTTAAAATTGAATTAAGTAAAATATGATTCTCAAAGCACTTTCTTTGTTTAATGTGAGTATATAATTAATGTTAATGCATCACCGAAATAGTGTTATGAAGAATTTGCTCTGATGGAAAATGAAAATGCTGTTTAAAATGATAAATTTTCTTTCTTCTTTGGAGTGAGGTGTGATAAGAGGTGTGTGACTAAGTTTCAAGGAATGACCACCGCATTAATTAAAAATGAAAAAACTAATCATTCTGAGATCTGACTTGCCTGCTCGTACCATCTGCTGGATCATAACACTGTCCTGATGACGAGTGTCTAGCTTTCATTCTGTTTCTGTGAAAGCACACCTTCTATTTTAGTTCAGCTAAGAAACACAATCTGACTTTCACACAGAATCAAATTTTAGATGTGTTTCGAGATATAATCAGGAAAAAGTGCCATAACCAAGCAACATTCTGATGTATGATTGAGAGAATATATTTTCTCATTGTTACGCTTGTCACAAGTTTTCTTGATCTCTTGTCATGGTCATGTCATACCAAAGCTATCGGGAAATACAGACTCTTAAAGCTGAATCTTGCTAGAGATCAGCAAAATGTCAGTTTTGTCAAATTTCAGGAATGGGGAGATCCTCCATGAGACCAAGTGAGTTTTCTTGCAATATCGTCTGAAACCCACCTCGTTAATTACATACCACA